AGTAGAAGCGGGAAATAATAGTAGTGGTTGTAGTAGTAGGAGTAGAAATAGTAGTAGCAGTAGCTGTAGCAGCAGTAGTCGTAGCAGAAGTCGTAGCAGTAGGTCGAAGTGGTAGTAATTTTCGTAGTATTGACTTCAAAAGTTGGTCCTCCTGCAGCCCTCGAGAGTTGGCCCTTCTAGGGCTTATTTGGGCGCCAAGAAAAGTCAACAAGGGCCCCAGGAGGGCTCCAAGAAGGCCCCGAGCGGGCCTTAAGAGTAGCCCAAAGCGAACTCAAGAAGGCCCCCAAAGCGCCCCCTTCCCCTAAGGATTTTTCAGGACTCCCATGGGTTCGTACATATTCCTAAGGATCCCAAGGAATCCCAAGGACCCTAAGGAATCCTAAGGATCCTAAGGAATCCTAAGGAATCATAAGGGATCCTAAGGAATCGAAGTACTTCTGAAGAAGAAAGAAGTACATCTGAAGAAGAAATAAATACTTCTGAATAAGAAAGAAGTGCTTCTGAAGATCCCATGGTTGTAATTGGTCCCATTTACGGTTGCAATTCGCTCCGAACGGTTGGAATTGGGACTCGTCGGTTGTAATTCGTCCCATTTCGGGGGGAGGGGCGGGGGGAGGAGGAGGGAGGCGGGTTTAGGGAGAGAGGGAGGAGGGGGAAGGGAGAGAGGCAGGCCGGAGAAACGCGAGGAACCACAACCACAGATGGCCCCTCCTCCTCCTCCTCCTCCTCCTCCTCCTCCGCCTCCTCGCGATCCGTCTGGCCCCTATGGGCCGCCAGGCATAGCAGAAAACCGACACCCCGACACAAACTGAATCCATAGTTTCTCTGATTAGGCAACAGTGACCTTTGGCGAGCGGCTGCAGGGGGGGGGCGCGGGGGGGGGGGGGGCGAACCCGAACATGCAAGCCACTGCTATCGCATTGCTTTCAAGGGGCCCCAGTGGGCCCTCACCAAAAGTAACTCTGGCGAAGGGTCACTCTTATGTGTAGTCGACAAAGGGCCCCCCTCCGGGGGACACAAGCAAATCGAAACACATTCCAGGGCTTCATGTCTTTTACTACTTCCTAGGTTCTCCTCTCTCCCCTTCCATGTCCGGTAGTTTCCTTGTTTTTTTTTCTCGTGGAGGCCAATAAGAACATGCGTGCTCGTGTCTATGTTCCCTGCTGAAACACTGTGGCTGGGAGGGGGGGCTTCCAAGAAGACTTCCTGGGAAGCGGGGGGGGGCTCCTCAGACCCCCTCGCGTCGTGAAAACAACACGACGGGACATTTTTTGCAATTTTCGGCACCCAGGGGCCCTTGCCCGGCCCTGGGACCGTCAAACAAACGGCTCGGGATGAAAAGCTGGTCCCCGGGAGTGGGTCCAGACCTCTAGGAGTCAACGTCATGAAAAAAATCACGTCGTCGGGGGTCTGGGTTCTGAATCTAAATCCTAGCCTGCCTTTCCCAGCATGGGTCCCGAACGAAGCGGGTCCTGGACCCGGGGTCCCCACCCCCCGGGGACCAGATCTCCATCCTGGTCTGGATTTTGGCGGCTCCAAAGTCTGGGGAGGGCCCCGAGAAGTCGGAAGCGGCGACAAACACCGCGGGACCCGCTCGCCGGGCGTACGCGAACATGAATTAGTGGTCCGTGGATCTGGTGCGTGGGCGCCAGATCTATGGATCGAGGAAGGTACCCCCGACACATGAGGCCATTGCCGCCTCATCTGGCGACAGCGGTCGCCAATTCTGTATGGAAACGGGACCATCGCTAATCCAAACGCCTGAATCCATGTTAGCGCTCCCTCGATCTCAGGGACCAATTGCTTCGTCATGGCGCCTTCTGTGGAAGACCGGCCCCTCGCCGCACACCCTTCTGCACGCCGCCGCCGCCTGGAAGAAGGGGCACAAGGCCGCGTCGGGCGCCTTCGTCGGCAGTGGGCGCCTCAGCTCCTCGACGCTGTGGGCGAAATTGCACGCTGAACCGTACGCGCAGGTCTTGCCGTTCTGCTCGTACCAACACATCTGGGACTTTACCAGCGGGTTGGTGGCACTCCAGGCGGCCGAAGGCACAGGCGGCGGCTTGCACAGCCACCTCTTCTTCTTCTTCCTGGCCGGCGCCGCGGCGGCGGCCTCCGCATGGCCTGCGCCGTCGCCGCAGCCGCCAGTGGCCGCCTCCGCGTCCTCGGGGCCCCCAACGTCGCCGCCGCCGACCGGCGCCGAGGCGGCGCTCCTGGCGCGGTCGGCCGCGTCGGCCGCGTCGGCCGCGCTCCCGGCGCCGTCGGACGCCGTGGCGGCGCCAGCGGCCACAGCCGGCGCGCTCCCGCCGCCGCCGCCCGCCGACGCCGCGGCGGTGGCCGACGCCGCGGCGGCGGCCGCCTCTGCGGCGTCCGACGCCGCCGCGGCGGTGCTCCCGGCCGCGGCGGCGGCGGTCGGCTCCGGGGAGCCGCCGCCGGTCGGCGCCGCGGCGGCGGCCGTACCCTCGGCCCGGCAGAGGCCATCGGCGCCGGTCGCAGCGGGCATGGGGGGGCCGCCGGGCCGTGCTTGCCTCACGCCTTCCAGTCAGCATCGTTGATGCGTATTGTGCATTCTCTGGTCTTCCTTTTCCTCCTCGCTCCTCATCGCTCCTCGCTCCTCGCTCTCCTCCTCCTCCTCCTCCTCCTCCTCCTCGCTCCTAGTCTTCTTCTTCTTCCTCCTCCTCCTCCTCCTCCTCCTGCTCCTTCTCCGCCTTCTCCTCCTCCTCCTATCCATCCTCCTCCTATCCATCCTCCTCCTATCCTCGGGAACTCGGAGCGGATCGGGACGTGCGTCGGATCGGGCCGCATCGGCACGGAGTCGAAATCGAATCAGATCGACTGCGTCAGCACGCGCAACAGCGCCGTGCAAGCATCGGGCAACATCGGCTCGTCGGAGGGTCGCAATCGAATCGGATCGGGCTGGCTATGATCCACATCGCATCGTATCAACTGGATCGAAATTGACCCTGCCTTCCGGCCCCGTCCAGGCGTGCGCGCGGCGAGGGGCAGGGGCGGCGACATGGCGGCAATCAAACTTTCGGGAACAGCAACATCCACATGACAGACGAAAAGAAACGGGTCTTGCGCACGATGACATAGCGACCTTACGCGGTGACTTGCGCTGGCCGTCAGCGTGGCCCTCTACACTAGCAATGAGGACGCTTACGCGCACGCGGGCAGCTTCCGCGCATATGTCTGTGCAGACGACTCCGCTCTTCCCCGTCGCTCACATTCATCCTGCTTGATCTCCTGATTCCACACTTTGTCAGGGGTAGGGGGTCCCCCCCTGCCTCCTGGGTGTGTCTGGGACAAGGGCGCGACCGGGACGCCATGCGAACGTGCCCGCTGGGGCCGCAAATGGGAGCTCCCGGTGGGGCACGATCCGTGTGAAAGGTGTGCCGAGATCGGCGGGGAGGGGGAGGGGGAATTGTTAAAAAACCTCTACGGCTACATGCCCCCGATCAAGAGGACCAAGGTGAGGGAAGGAACCCGACATTCCTCTTCCTCTTGTTCTGCTGGGGATGCCTGTCTTTGCGAACATTTTCCAGGCAATTCTCCCAGCTCCTGATTCCTCCTTCTGGGGAGGAGAAAGTGCAGATGGGGCAGGCGAAGGAGGATGAGTAGGTGTGGCGCGGAGCGGTTGAGAGAGCGTCGATACCAAACTCGACAACTCCTTGCCTGGTTCGTCGGCCGACGTCCGCACGGCGCCGACTGGGCCTGGCCGGCTTCCTTGCTCTCTGCCAGTCTACGCCGCCATCGGATCAACAGCGACGGCCTGACCGAGGAGATCGCTGGCGTGGCCTGGCTCCCTACGCACCCTGTGCTCGGAGCTCCTGCTGCTCGATCGGCTTACGTAAAGGCCTCCTAGATGGGGTCGGAGTACATGGGGTCGGAGGATCGCGCCGCATCGCCGATACAGCGGCGATGCATCGGCCATGCGTCGGCGATGCGCCGGCGATGCATCGTCGACGCCGGCGATGCATCGGCGACGTCGACGTGAAGCAAATCGGGCTGCACATCGAGCCGCATCGGCGATGCATCGGCGATGCATCGGCGATGCAGCGCGATCCTCCGACCCCATCTACTCAGACCCCATCTAGGAGGCCTTGATCATTAGCGACGGCCTCGCTGTAAGGATCCCTGGTGTGTGTGTGTGTGTGTGTGTGGGTCTGTCCCGTGCGGCGGCTGCTGTTCCTCGGTAGCCGCGCTGCCGCGCACGCCCCAACCCCCCGCAGCGTGTTCCTTGGGACGTACACGCCGCCAGCCTGGCCGCCAGCGCCGCTGGTCCCGCTGCTGCTGCTGCGCGACCAGAAACAGAGTGTGTGTGTGTGTGTGTCTGTGTGTCTGTGTGTGTGTGCAGCCAGCGCTGGTAGCTGCCCTAAGGCTGGCACCCTACCGCGACCTGCTCTGAGTCCTCTCGTTCGCGGGGCTGGCAATGGCCTACCTGGCCCACTGCCTCCCTGTTGCCCTGTGCCCTCGCGGCTCTCTTTTCGCAGCAATGCACCTATTCGCCGCGCTGCAGCTATTCGGTGCCCCCCCCCTCGCGTGCCCCCCGCTGCCGCCCGGGGCGTCGATTCTGTGCTCCGCTCCACCTGCCGCCGCCCAGGTCCGGCAGCTCCTGGCCTTGTCGGCGCTTCCCTCTTTGCCCTGCCGCCCTTCCTGGGGCCGGCCGCTGGGGCGCCTCGGTGGGCTTGACTTGCCGTCCGCCGTTGGCCCCTGGGCCCCCCCCCTTCCCACCTGGAGGATGTCCTGCCCTGCCGCTGCAAACCCCCGCCTTGGTCAGGGATTCGCCGGCCTTCTGCAGGTTTTGTCCAGGCTTCGCCGCCTTCGCCTGTGGTACCCTCCACCGCTTTGCCGGGCCCCGTGCCCGTCGGTCGGCCTTGCCTCTTGCTAGGTCCCCCCCCCCTGCTTGCCTGGTTTTCAAGCCGGCCTCTCGACCATGTGCCGGCCTACTGGTGGGTGGGTTGCTGCCGCGCTGCCGTGGCGCCTTGCACTGCCTTTCCCCCCCATGCGCATCGAAGGTCACCAGATCTCGGCGCCCGCCCGCCCACCTGCTGGCACTCCCAGCTCTACGCCGCTCTCCCTGATGACGAGGCTCTGCCTCTTCGTCCTTTTCCTTCGCCCTCACGCCGGCCTGGTCTTGCCGCGCACAGTGCAGCACTCGTGGCAGTCTGCGCTCCGCCCTTCACGCTTCCCGCCGCGCCTCGTATGTCACCAAATCTCGGACACGCTTTTCTCCTTGCAGCCGTTTGCTGCTTGTCCAACGTCAGCCCCCCCGGACTCCGTCAAGGCTGGTATTACCGACTGGTCTGGTCGCTCGATACCTGCCCATTTGATGTCTGCTCCTCCACCTGTCTTTGGCTGGCCGCCGCTGGGCCGCCTTCCCCCCCCAGCTGCTGCCAAGCGCCGCGGCTAGCCCCCCCCCCCCCCGGCGCTTCCTCCGCCGCAGCCGGTGACTTGCCTGAGCGGGCCCGACTTCCTCTCTTCCCGCCTGGGCGGGGTCTCTTCCTCTCCTCACGTGCACTGCGGCCCAATTTGCATCTAGCGCGCCCCACTGGTGCCCGATCGCTGGAGCAGTAACCTCTGCCCAGCCCCCGACGCCCAAAGTGTGTGCGTGTGTGTATGTGTGTGTGTGCGTGTGTGTGTGTGTGTGTGCGTGTGTGCGTGTGTGACCCGCGCTCCTAAGCGGGTCGCAAGTGACGATGTTTTGCCTTCCACGCGCCCTGCCTCTGTCCTTTCTCTGCATTCTTTCGTTTCTTCCGCGCGCATGTTCTTCAACACTTTTCACCTGTGCCCGTCACCCACTCGTCGGACTGGCCCTTCATCGGCACACGTTCGGAGGTAATGGTAATCACTCTTAGCGCGTCCCGCTTGTGCCCTCGCGACTTTGGAACAGCAGGCCACAAAGCCAAAACTTGTGTGTGTGTGTGTGTGTGTGTGTGTGTGTGTGTGTGTGTGTGTGTGTGTGTGTGTGTGCGAGTGTGTGTATGTATGTATGTGTGTGTGTGTGCATGCGTGTGTGTGTGTGTGTGTGTGTGTGTGTGCGTGCGTGTGTGTGTGTGTGTGTTTTCTTTCTTCTCCCAGCCACAAGCAGATTTGACCAGTTTGTCTCAGGGCGTCCTTCTTCTGAGTACGAGTCGTGGCAAGCTCTGAGGTACCTGGAGGCAGTCCTTGCTGCGCCTAGCTAAAAAACTGCTTGTCATAACGATTCAAACAATGAGGGCACTCCTACTTCAAATTCCTCACCGCCTGGGTAACGATGCAACCACAGCCCAGACACACCGTGCTCCCAAACTCCTCGTGGTAGAGGGAAGAGGGATGGTGGAGAGAGGAGGGGAACGTAAGGGAGAGAGGAGGGGAACGTGTGTGTGTGTGTGTGTGCGTGCGTGCGTGCGTGCGTGCGTGCGTGCGTGCGTGTGTGTGTGTGTGTGTGTGTGTGTGTGTCTGTGTGTGTCTGTGTGTGTCTGTGTGTGTCTGTGTGTGTGTGTGTGTGTGTCTGTGTGTGTGTGCGTGTGTGTGTGTGTGTGTATCTCTCCGCCTGCTCCCTACCCGTCGCATTGCGCCGCCCCTGAGCGGGTCGCCTGCGACGGTTGCGCGCGACCGTTTTCTGGATTCCCACACATAGCTCCGCAAACGCACGGCTGCGGGCTTTGTTTTTTTAACATCCGCCAACCGCTTGTTCGTTGGCCAGCATTTGCACACGTTCGGCGGCAATCAACTTGGGGTGCTCTGCTTTTGCCTTCGCTGCGCTGCGTTCGGCCAACCGGCCGCGAAGCAAGAAACGCATGGGCGTAGGTTTAGGCTTGGCATGTCCCCCTACAGGCGGGTTTTGGTATATATTTGTCTAAAGGCAAACATGGATCAACACATACTCAAGAGAGCGCGAACATGTCGTCACCATACTACATGTTTTTGCAATTCTCGGATGTTCCTCCTGTAGAGGGACATGCCCGAGCGTAGGCGTGTGCCACCGCTTCTCGTCCTCCTCCGGGGGAGCCTCGGTGGCGCGCTTCCGACGGCTGGCCTCCCCTGCTTCCACGGAGCCTGGGGTCCTCGGCCACCTCTCCCTGGTGCTCCCCGTCCGTTCTGGCCTCCCCTCTCTCTGCCGTGTAAGACGAAGCCTGGGCGGCGATACATTCGGGTGAGGATAAATCGAGAATCTCTGAGCTCTGGCGGTTCTGGAGGATGTCTTAAGCGCCGCGGCCTCCTCATAGCATTCTGGAGCGCTCCGAGAGCGTTGCGGACTGCTGTGGAACGGACTCATCCTCGCCCTAGCCCCGTCCGAGTTCTGGCCCCCCCTCGCTCTGCCGTGCCCGCGCGGCCGTCTGGCGGCCTTTTCGCGCCTCCACGCTTACCTGGCATGGTCTGATGCAGCTCATCAACTGCTGGCCGCGGCTGGCGTCGCCGGGCTGCCCAACCCCCTTTTCTGTCTCGTCCGCGCTCCCGTCGTCCAACCCTCTTCCTCCTACTGCCGCACCAGCTCCGATCCTCCGCCTGGCGTTGCAC